CCCCTGCACCCCCGTGCCCCTCACTTCCTAGGCCCTGCCGGGCGCTGTCTGATATGGGGGTGACCATTCAGCCAGCACTGACTGCCCCTGGCGCCAGCTCCAGCAACCCGGTGTCCCCTGGGGGCCGCTGCCTCGCCCAGCTCCCAGGGTGCCCGTCCGTGGGCTGGGATGGAGGCCGGGGCGTCTCTGCACCTGGGAGAAGACGGCGGCATCTCCCGGAGCCCGGGCTCTGGGGGCAGGGCCTGGGACATGGCTAGACCCCTCATGTCCCCGTGCCTAGCTTCGAGGTGACCACAGGAGCAGACGCCCTGCCCGTGAGCTCCAGCCTTGGCCTGCTGAGCTGTGACAGACGTGGGTTCCTGTCCCAGCCGCACGGCCTTGGGAGAGACACAGCCTCAGTTTCCCTGGTGGTGCGGGGCTGGGGGCATGACCAGCTTCGGTCGGGTGTGTCCCATCCCAGCGGCCCTGTGACCCCGGAGGGAGCTGGTTTGGGACCCGCTGTGGAGCCCGGCTGGTGTCGGCGTGGGGAGGGGCCCACAGCACCTCTGCATGAAGGTTTGGGCCCCACGACGCCGCGCGCGGGCGTCTCCGGCACCGGAGCGGAGCGGCTGCTTCCGGTGCCCGCTTGGCCAGCGAAGGCTGCCGCGTGCATTTTATCTGAACGCCCCCCAGGTCTGAGTTGCTCAGAAACTTCCCCCAAAATCTCCTTTTTTGGCTGCAAATGCCTCCTGCGTTGGTCGTGTGCCCAAACGGCGTCGGCTGGAGGAGGGCGGAGATCAGGCTCTGGGCTGGTGGGCGTTCCAGAAGCTTCCATGCCTACCTTCAATCCGTGCTCACCGCCGGGTTTGCAGCACCCGCGGCCTTGCCGTTCCGGTTTAAAGTTTCTCTCCATCAAGGGGGCGGAGGCGGGAGCCGAGCGAGAGAGCGAGAGAGCGAGAGAGGTACCCAGGCCCCATGGCTCGCTCTCGCGCTCAGCCGCCTTGGCCTTCTCCTGGGGAAGGGGTGAGGAGTGACGGCTGTGCCCCTCCCTCGCCTTCCCCGCCCCGCTCTGTCTCATGCATGCTTGCCAGTGTTTCCCTGGAGGCGACACGGACTGAGCGTGGGCTCCCGGTGCTGTGTCTGAGCCAGGTGAACTACAGTCTGGACCGCGCGAGCCCTGGAGGCGGAGGCCTGCGCCTGCACGGAGAGGGGCCTGCCGCCAGATCCTCGCCAGCCGCGCCCCACTCAAAACCGTGTCCCGGGGCAAAAGTGCCCTTGGCCGACAGCCACCGGTTCAAACCCTGCTTCAAGGTCGTCGTCCCAAGGTCACGCTGAACCAGGGCACCCTCCCTGGTTCCTGCAGGCGGGCAGCCCCCACCCGCACAGGCGCGACCCTTTGCTAGCCCCATGGAGCAAGCTTTGAGAGGCCGAGAGAGACAGAGCGCCCAGCCGCTGGTTCATCCCCCCAGATGCCTCCAGTGGCAGGGATGGGGCCCGGCTGTAGCCGGAGACGCCAGGAGAGAGACAGAGCGCCCAGCCGCTGGTTCATCCCCCCAGATGCCTCCAGTGGCAGGGATGGGGCCCGGCTGTAGCCGGAGACGCCAGGAGCTTGATCCCCGGCGCGCAGGGACCCAATTACTTGAACATCACCACAGCCTCCGGGGTCTGCAGGAAGCTGGGGGTGGAGCTGGAGCCGTGGAGGAAGCCCAGCTACACGGGGTGGGACCCGGCTTCTTCGCCCCCAGGCCAGGCCCTGCTCCTCGGACCGATGTAACCTAAGCCCCCGCCAGTCGGGGCCTCCAGAGCCCCTGAGCTCTGCTAACCTGCGGCTGTCAGTTCAAGGGCAGGGCCCTGCGGCAGCATGGAGTGTGCTAGAACCGCAGAAACCGGACAGTGACCACACGGCCGGCTGTGCGCAGAGCACACGGGGACACAGTGGCCGTGGGACAAAAACAGGAGCCGCAAGCCCCGCCATGCGCTCTGTGGGCCGACGGCGCATGGGGACGCAGGGCGGGGGCAGGGCGCCAAGGCGCCCGCGCGTGCGTGTGCGTGTGCGTGCGCGTGGGAACGCAGGGCGGCACGAGCCTGCGGGGCCCTGGAGCTCGGCTTCTAGGGGTCTGTGCCAGACACGCGCGGCCAAAAGCGGGAGAGCTTCCTGCGGCCTCAGTTTTGAAGGCCGGGAACGCGCCCCGGGCCCGTCCGCGGGGCTGGCGCACTGGGAGCGCAGCGGCGGGGGCGGGGAGCCGAGGAGGCAGTGAGGGCGTGGGCGTGGGGAGCGAGCGCGGCACACAGGCGGGGGCGGGGAGCTGAGGAGGCAGTGAGGGCGTGGGCGTGCGTGTGGGGAGGGCGGGGGCGTGCGCATGGGGAGCGAGCGCGGCGCACCGGCGGGGGCGGGGAGCCAAGGCGGCAGTGAGGGCGTGGGCGTGCACGTGGGGAGCGCAGCGCACCGGCGGGGGCGGGGAGCCAAGGCGGCGGCGAGTGTGTCGGCGTGCGCGTGGGGCGGGTGGGGGCGGCACTCTCCGCAGCAGAGGGAGCGGGAACACGCGTGACTGCGAAAACCAACAGCTAATTCTAAGAATGGTTCCCGCAGGTGCGGGGAAGGAGCGGGCGGGGTCCCCCCAGGCACCAGGATGCCCGGCTCTGACCCAGCTCCCGGCCGGTGCACACCCCGCGAGGCAGTGGCCGTGTTCCTGCCGCCCACGTGGGAGACCTGGCTTCTGCCCCAGGCAGGCTGGCACTGACGTTTGGGGAGTGAACCAGTGACTGGGTGCTCGTTCTCTCTCTCTCTCTCTCTCCTCTCTCTCTCCCTCCTCCCCCTCCCTCTCAGTTAGTAAATAATGATAATAAAAGCACAGGCGAGTTGAGGCACCAGTGTGTGAAGCATGGTCTCATGCTTGTTAAGTTTTTGAACAAGAGGGGCCAGCGCTGGGGCGTAGCAGGTAAGCCACCGCCTGCAGTGCTGCCAACCCATATGGACGCTGGTTCGAATCCGGGTTGTTCCTCTTCCAGTCCAGCTCCCTGCTGTGGCCCGGGAAGGCAGTGGAGGATGGCCCAAGTGCTTGGGCCATGCACCCCATGGGAGACCAGGAGGAAGCACCTGGCTCCTGCTATCGGATCAGCGCAGCGCCGGCCATTGCAGCCATCTGGGGAGTGAACCAGTGGATGGAAGACCTCTCTCTCTCTCTCTCTCTCTCTCTCTCTCTCTCTCTCCCTCCCCCCCTCCTCTCTCTCTGTGTGTAACTCTTGACTTCCAAATAAATAAACCTTTTTAAAAGTTTTTGAATTAGAGTTTTTTAAGATTTTTTCATTTATTTGTTTGAAAGTCAGAATCAGAGAGAGAGAGAGGGAGAGAGAGAGGTCTTCCATCTGCCGGTTCACTCCCCAAATGGCCATAACAGCAGGGCCTGGGCCAGGCCAAAGCCAGGAGCTTCTTCCGGGTCTCTCACATGGGTGCAGGGTGTACTTGGGCCGTCCTCCACTGCCTTCCCGGGCACAGCAGAGAGCTGGACTGGAAGTGGAGCAGCCGGGACTCGAACCGGCGCCCACATGGATGCTGGAGCTGCAGATGGCGGTTTTACCTGCTGTGCCACAGCACGGCTCCTGATTTTATATTGTAATCTTGGAGACCATGGGGCGGGGGGCTGGGAACTCTGCGTCTCCCTCTGTACCCTTCGGGGTTTGAAGCTGTTACTGTGACAGTGATTTTACTTTCTTATTAAACTATACATTTTTTTTCTTGGCAGGCAGAGTTAGTGAGAGAGACAGAGAGAAAGGTCTTCTTTTTTTCCGTTGGTTCACCCCCCAAGTGGCCGCTACAGCCAGCGCGTTGTGGCCGGCGTGCTGCGCCAATCCGAAGCCAGGAGCCAGGTGCTTCTCCTGGTCTCCCATGGGGTGCAGGGCCCAAGGACCTGGGCCATCCTCCACTGCACTCCCAGGCCACAGCAGAGAGATGTGGAGCAACCGGGACAGAACCGGTGCCCCAACCGGGACTAGAACCTGGGGTGCCAGGCGCCACAGGCGGAGGATTAGCCTAGTGAGCCACGGCACCGGCCTAAACTATACATTTTTATAAGAGAACCAGATAGGTGAGGTGGCGCTAGGCTGGGTGGCATGGGTTCCCAGTGCTGGGTGAGCTTTCAGAGGGAGGGGGCTCACTGTGGACTCGGGTGATCAGGGAGGGCTCCCTGGAGGAGGGGGCGACGAACTGAATCCCGGAGCGGGGGTGAAGGTCAGCAGTTTCACCCCTGGCTGATATTTTAATGTGGGAATCGTAGCTGAACACTTCTCACTCGGTTCCCCACCCCCACCCCCGCAAGGGACAGGACGGGCCCAGAAGGTGACCATTATTGGGAAGGTGCTGACCGCTGTGTGCCCAGGGCTGCTTCCTCTGTGCCACAGGCGGGCTCTGAGCCTCCGCCAGCCCCCGCCGGCACCCACCCTGCCCGCCTCCCCCTCTCTGTCTGTCCTCACCTTGGGCCCTCGGAACCTTGGCCCCTCCATGGGAGGGGCTCGTTGGTGTTCCTCTTTTCTTATTACCATCCAACAACAGACGGTGACGCCAGGCGGCCGTGCCGGGCCCCAGAGCCTGGCCAGGTGCTGGGGACACTCAGGTGCTGGGGACAGGTGCTGGGGACACGCAGCTGCCCGCTCTGGCCCTCCCCTCCGTGAGGCATTGTCTCCGAGGAAGCGTGGCCCTGTGGCACCCTGTCCCAGTCTCCACCTTTGGGCACCACGGGGGAGGGCCTGGGGGCTTGTCAGTCATGCCCCGCCCCCGGGGTCTAGCTGGGCACATAGGAGGTGAAGAAGTGAGGGAGGGGCGAGAGTGGGGAGTAACCAGATCCTGCTCCTGACCCTGGGTCGGCGCCTCCCCCTCCCCCGCCCGGTACAGGGGACGCAGGCGCACTGCAAACTCACCGCGGGATGGAGCCCCTGCCCCCGTCCCCCAGCACCGGCGCTGGGCGACCCGGCCAGGCCTGGGCTCCGCAGGTACCTGCTGACCGCCCGCCCCCGCCCCTCCGCAGGCGAGTGTCCCAGCCCCGGGCGCGGCGGCGCGGCCAAGCGGAAGAAGCAGCGGCGGAACCGCACCACGTTCAACAGCAGCCAGCTGCAGGCGCTGGAGCGCGTGTTTGAGCGCACGCACTACCCCGACGCCTTCGTGCGCGAGGAGCTGGCGCGGCGCGTCAACCTCAGCGAGGCGCGCGTGCAGGTGAGCGCGGGGTCGCGGGGCCGCACCTGCCCGTCGGGGCTGCCAGGGCAGAGCCTCAGGTCCGAGCTCCGCCCTTGCTGGCTGTGCCACCTGGGTGGGTTCCTTAGCCTCTCTGTTCCTGGGACTCCCCCTTGTAGGATGAGGGTCACGGGGGTCTGTTTCGGGGCGGGGGGGGGGTCTTACGGTCACGGAAGGCGACATGTTTTTGGCAGCGCGCTTAGAGGAGTGCCTGGCTCAGAGGATTTTCGGGAATGAAACCGGTTTTCAAGTCCCCAGCACCAGCGTCTGTCCCACCACTCATTAAAGCCCCAGGCCGGGGCTGATGGCCCTCACCCTTTACTCCGGCCGGCCGTCCACCCTGCCTCCACCACGCCCTCTGCGCCAGGCCGAGTTAGAGAGAGGGGGAAAGAGTCTTCCACCTGCTGGTTCACTCCCCCAGAGGGCTGCAATGCCCAGGGCTGGGCCAGGCAGAAGGCGGGAGCCTGGAGCTCCATCCAGGTCTCCCACGCGGGTGCAGGGCCCCAGTCCTTGGGCCCTCCTCCGCTGCTTTCCCAGGACGCATTAGCAGCAAGCTGGGTCAGGAGCAGAGAGCTGAGACCCGCACCGGCCCCTGGGCTGCCCCCGTTTTACAGATTAGAAAACCGAGGTTCCCAGGGGTGCTGCTCGCCCGGGGCTGTGGTGGGGCAGGTGCACACCCCCGGCCTGCGAGGGCTGGGCGTCCCCTCTGCCGCCCCCGCGCACCCTCCCACCACCCTCGTGCCCCAGGTCTGGTTTCAGAACCGCCGTGCCAAGTTCCGCCGGAACGAGCGGGCCATGCTGGCCAACCGCTCCGCCTCGCTGCTCAAGTCCTACAGCCAGGAGGCCGCCATGGAGCAGCCGGTGGCCCCCCGGCCCACGGCCCTGAGCCCCGATTATCTCTCCTGGACGGCCTCATCCCCCTACAGGTGAGAGCGGGAGCCCCACGGCTCGGGAGGGGGCCCAGGGGGCCTGGGTCTGGGGTCCAGAGAGGGGTGGGGAGTGGGGGTGTGTGTGCGCGTGCGCCGAGAGCGTGTGTTCGTGACCTGTGCAAGTGGGTGTCGTCGGAGTGTGCATGCGTGTTCACGTGTCTTGTCGACGTGGCACACAGGAGCGTGTGTGTGTGTGTGTGTGTGTGCACGTGAGCCCCGGTGTGCGCCCGGGGCACCTGTGTCAAGCTCCAGACGAGAGACTGAGTCTGGGAGGGCGGAAGAAATGGCAGCCCTGAGCCGTGAGCCACGCCTGGGGCTGGAAGGCAGGGGGAGATGCCGGGGAGCTGGGGGGACTCACCGGACCCCAGAACTCCAGGGGGCATCAGCTGCTCCTCGCCTGTGTGGGCGGCTGCTCTGGATCCAGGGTCCCGTGGGAGGCAGGGATGGAAGCAGGCGGCTGTGGGACCCTGGCCCTCGCCCCCTGCAGGGGAGGGACCCAGAAGCACCCCAGTGCGGTGTGTGCTGCACCCCGCCCGCCCGGCCGGGGAGGCCCAGGGCCAGTCCTCGGGAACCGCCGGACACTGCTCTCAGCAGCAGGTAGACAGTCCAGCTCCTCCCAGATCTGGCTGCCCCGCCCCAGACAGAGCCCCCCAGGAGAGCAAGCTTGGGGGGAGGGGCGGGGGCAGGAGGGCCAGCGGCCGGAGTCCAGAACCAACAGGCACTGGCAGTCAGCGGCAGCCGCGGGCCAGCCTCACCCGTGTGTCCTTGTGTTCCTGTCGCCCCCAGCTCCGTGACCCCCTACAGCCCTGGGGGTTCGGGCCCCGCCACCCCAGGGGTCAACATGGCCAACAGCATCGCCAGCCTCCGTCTCAAGGCCAAGGAATTCAGTCTCCACCACAGCCAGGTGCCCACCGTGAACTGAGGGCCAGCCCCGCCCACAGTGGAGGAGAGAGCAGGTGCACGGAAGGGATTCTCACCCGGCCTCTCCCTCCCGACAGACTCCTGAGCCCCAGAGGCTGCTGTGGCCCCGGCGCCCCATCCACGGCCCCTGGAGGGTGCCGCCCCCCCGTGGAGCGGCTGGGCCCGGAGGCGCCAAGGACCTCACTACTTTGTGTATTAAAACGCGAGAGCTTTTGTCTTTAAGAAATAAAACCGTTTTTTTTTTTTTTTTCCAGTCCCAAGAAGTTGCGGGAGGGTGGATGAGGGCAGAAGCGGTGGTGGCTGCTCAGGGGGAGCTGGGAGCCCGCGGTGCCCCACCCAGCCACGCCCACACCTGGCTCTGCCTGGGGCAGCCGTGGAACCCGCCCTGGGCTGGCTCAGACCCAGGCCGCCACGGTGCCCTCCCACGGAATGCGTCTTCTGCCCCCTGCAGGCCTCGGACGGCAGTGGGGTGGGAACAGCACCTGTCCTGACCCTTCTCCCATCCCGGGTCCCAAGGGCACCCCAGCGGTCCAGGGGACCTTGTTCTGCCGCTGGACGTGGTTGGGGGCTCCTGGACTGAGCGACAGGGCGTGGGGCAGGAGCAGGATCCGAATCCCTCTGTCCTGCGAGGAGCCTTTCCGGTATTTTCCCCTGGAGGGCCCAGCATGCAGCCGGGAAGATGGGGTGCAGGCCTGGCCAGAGGAGGGGTCCCCTCCCAGCGGACGTCCCCGGGCCCCCAGCCCACCCGTGCACAGGCGGAAATGGGGGTGACATCAGTGGGGTCTGCGGATGAGGCCAGCCCCCTCCCCCTGGCCCTGTGCCACCCTCTCAGGGGCACGCCCACTGGTCAACAGGGCCCCTGCCCAGCCCCAGGAGGTAGGACAGCGCCAGGAGCCATGTGGGTGGGGGGAGGCGGCACCCTGGAGCTGGGCGAGTGCCCCCGTCTGCCTTCCCCCCGCCACCCACCGCAGGGTCCCCAAAGTCCCAGCAGTGGCGAATAGGCAGGAGCCGCCCCAAATCCTGGCCCGAGGGAGGTCCCGGGTCCGAGTGACGTGGGGCTTCCTCCCATCCCAGGCGCCTCCCCAAATACCCCCAGTCCTGCTCCTCCTGGAAGTCCACCCTGGGGGACCTGGAGCTGTGGCCCCAGCACTGCTGCTCCCCGGTCCGGGGACGGGGCGGCTCCTGCCCTGGTGGCAGCGGGGACTCCGGTCAGCGGGCGAGCGTGGGCACTCGGCCTCCCCGCCCTGGCCCTGTTGGGGGGGGGTCCTGCTTGTTTGACCTTGGCCTTGGTAAGTGCTGTCTGGGCCTCCATTCATGTGCATTTACTGAGAAAATAGGAGAGCCTTGCTGTGCGCCCAGGGCCCTGCCCCAGGTCTGGGGGATGGGAGAGCAGGTGACGGACCCTCTGAGAGGGCTGCACCAAACAGGTGATGACTGAGGCTGGGAGGGGCGTGGCTCTGGGGCCCAGGTGGGGGCAGGAGGTGTGTGAGAGAGGATAAACAATCTACCAGGCAGCCGGCGCCATGGCTCACTAGGCTAATCCTCTGCCTAGCGGCGCCGGCACACCGGGTTCTAGTCCCCTGATCGGGGCGCCGGATTCTGTCCCGGTTGCCCCTCTTCCAGGCCAGCTCTCTGCTGTGGCCAGGGAGTGCAGTGGAGGATGGCCCAAGCCCTTGGGCCCTGCACCCCATGGGAGACCAGGAGAAGCACCTGGCTCCTGCCTTCGGATCAGCGCGGTGCGCTGGCTGCAGCGCGCCGGCGTGGCGGCCATTGGAGGGTGAACCAACGGCAAAGGAAGACCTTTCTCTCTGTCTCTCTCTCTCACTGTCCACTCTGCCTGTCAAAAACAAACAATCTACCAGGCAAAGAGCGGGGGCAGAACCGTGTTTCTTGTTAAGGGCACAGCACGTGGGAAGGCCCCGAGACAGGCACCAGAAGCGTCTCTCAGGCAGCGGCAGGCCCGGCACACAGCAGCCTCCAGGAGAAAGACACTGGACCCCGGGCCTGCCTGGCGGAAGCTTCTGGAAGAGGCTGCCCTGTTCTCCCCTCCAGACAGAGCTGGGGCCAGGCTCCTCCCTGCTCGGACTCGCCTCTTCACCTGGGAGACAGCGCCTGGGAGCTGAGGACGGACGGACAGGGCCCCAGGCGCCCGGCAGTGTCCCGGGGCTGGACAGCGGGCATGGCAAGTCTCTGCTGTTTTTATTTATTTATTTTTTTGACAGGCAGAGTGGACGGTGAGAGAGAGAGACAGAGAGAAAGGTCTTCCTTTGTCGTTGGTTCACTCTCCAATGGCCGCCGCAGCCGGCGCACCGCGCTGATCCGATGGCAGCAGCCAGGTGCTTCCTCCTGGTCTCCCATGGGGTGCAGGGCCCAAGCACCTGGGACATCCTCCACTGCACTCCTGGGCCACAGCAGAGAGCTGGCCTGGAAGAGGGGCAACCGGGACAGAATCCGGCGCCCCGACCGGGACTAGAACCCGGTGTGCTGGTGCCGCAAGGTGGAGGATTAGCCTAGTGAACCGCGGCGCTGGCCATGCTGGTTTTATTTTTTAAAGATGTATTCGTTTATTTGAAAGAGTGCGAGAGCGAGCGCTCCCGTGGGCTGCTTCTCTCCCCAGACGGTCACAGCTCCAGGAGCCGTCCGGGGCTGCCACGCGGTGGCCGGGGTGCAAGCACTCAGGCCGCCGTCCGCTGCTCTCCCACTGCTGTTCAGAAGCGGAGCAGCGGAGACTTGAACTGAACCAGCACCCCGACTTGAGAAGCTGGTGCCGCCGGCGGTGGCTGACCCTGCGGTGCCAGCGCCCGGGCAGCTCTCGGCCCCACCCGGAGACCCTGAAGCCCCGCCAGGCTGGGGCTGCCTGCGGCGGCGTGGGGGGGGGGTCCCACCGGAGGGGGCCTGGCAGCGGTGCCAGGAGTGCCAGCTTTGCCAAGGGCTGGGGTTCGCTCCCACGGCCGTGTGACCGGAGGCTGTCAGGGTCCCTTCTCCCGCGCTCTGGTTGATAACGTGCCGCTCGGGGAAGCTGAGGGCGCCCGGCCGCCCTGCCCGGGAGGCAGGAAAGAGCCAGCCCTGCTGTGGCTGCCATGGCTCTCTGCTGTGGCCTGGGTCCGAGTGTCCTGGGCCTGTGACCAGCAGTGTTTGTCCTAAGGACAGGTGCAGAGGCCTCCTGGGGCTAGGGGGCTGGGAGGGGACAGGAGGGACTGGGCCCCTTCCTCTCCCTGCCTGCCTTGGCGGGTGGGGCCCAGTGGGCTCAGCACAGGGCTCTAAGGTGACTGCTTTCCATTTCCTTCACAATATTTATTTATTTATTTATTTATATGAAAGGCAGAGTTACAGAGAGGCAGAGAGAAAGGAGAGAGAGATCTTCCATCTGCTGGTTCACTCCCCCGATGGCTGCAATGGCTGGAGCTGAGCCAATCCGAAGCCAGGAGCTGTCGCTCCCCGTCTTCGTGGAGGAACGACACAGGACCCTGCGCTGTTCTTTCGTCTGCTCGGCCCTCCCCGGGTTTGCTGCTGGTTCTTCCCGGGTTGGCTACCGTCCTTCCCGGGTTGGCTGCTGATCCTTCCTGGGTTGGCTACCGTCCCTTCCACCTCCGTGGAAGGGCGGTTCCCCCTGCCACATTCCCCACTTCCGCGGGGGAGCGGCACACCACCGGCCGGCTCTCTCGGGGGCTGCACAGGTGTTCCCCTTAGATGTTCCTGGTGCATGCCATCTCTCTCCTCCTTTATAGTCCTCTTCCGCCAATCCTAACTCGGCTGCTCACACGCCGAGTACGCTGCTCTCCTCCAATCAGGAGCAAGATCAGCTCCTGCAGCTCAGTCAATCAAGTTGGTAAGAGGCAGCTGCATAGAAGCTGTTTTCTCCTCTCCCAGCGCCATATTGTGGGAGAGCAGATGCATAGAATAAGTCTTAATTCCAGTAACTCAGTCCAGTCCGAGTTGCTCCCCACAAGGAGCCAGGAGCTTCTTCTGGGTCTCCCACGTGGGTGCAGGGGCCCAAGGACTTGGGCCAGCCTCCACTGCTTTCCCAGGCCATAGTAAAGAGCTGGATTGGAAGAGGAGCAGCCAGGACTAGAACCGGCGCCCATCTGGATTGCCGGCACTGCAGGCTCTGGCTTTACCCGCTGGTCCACAGCGCCGGCCCCAGCATTCCATTTTTACGTGACATAAGGGAAGAAGGACAGGCAGCCCGGCTCTTGCCAAAACCAAAGCCGGAGAAACCAGGGCGGAGTTTCTGGCTCGAGGCCTTGGGCAAAGCACTTCGCTGGACTCAGTTTCCCCTTCCGCACAGTGGGGGATGGAAGCAGAGGCTGCCCCACAGGGCCGTGGGCTCCAGTCCGTGTGGGTGGCCCCGCAGCAGGCAGGGAGGAGTGCGGGGTGTGCACGTCGAGGTCCTCCCCCTCCTGGGTGCCCACATCTTGAGGGGTCCTGGGGGACCCACTGCAAAGCGTTGCCCGGGGCTCCTGCACTTCTGCAGCCCGCCCCTGGGGGCGCTGTGGCTCCCGGTGCCGCCCGGGCTGCGTGGTCGCTGGTCCTGGAGAACCCAGACCGAGGCGGCAGGACCGTGCAGCTCAGGGTGGTTCCCAGCCTGCGGGGCGCCGGGGTCTCTGTAATAAGTTCACAGGGAAACGAAACAGCCTTGCAAAACAGAGCGGGCAGGGAGCGCTGCGGGATCCCCCGTGAGCGCTTAGAAGGTTACAGGTGCGCTTTCACGGGAGTCTTTCCCACGTCCCAGGGGCCGGCCCCGGGGCTCCACCCCAGCTCCCCGCTAAGGCAGCAGTGGCCGTGCCGGCCCAGTGCTGGGGTCTCTGCCACCCACCCGGGCGGAGCCCCTGCTCCTGGCCTTGCCCCTGCTGGGGGCGTTCAGGACCGGACGCTGGGAAGGGAAATGACTGTGGTACACTCTGGGTAGCTGGTGTCCGAGTGTGTGTGTGCGCGCGCGCGTGTCCCTCAGTGCCCCACTCAAAGCCACGCGCCCTCCCCTGTCTGCGGCCGCAGCCCGGAACTCCTGCTCAGCTGCCCGGGGATCCCTCAGTCCCCAGGGTCCTGCCGCTTGCTGGGTACCAGGCTCCCTTTATGTTGTGAGCAATTTTTTAAAATAGATTTATTTGAAAGTTACAGAGAGATCTTCCATCCACTGCTTCACTTCCTTATCCCGATCTCCCACCTGGGTGCAGGGGCCCAAGCACTTGGGCCATCTTCCGCTGCTTTCCCAGGTGCACTAGCAGAGAGCTGGATCGGAAGTGGAGCAC